TTGGAGTCTTCATCTTATTATGACGGGCAGCAAGCAAACCTACTCTGCTTCTGAGTAAGACACTATGTCCCCTAAATCTGGTCATAATGCCAAGATTCTTAGAAAGAGAGGCCAGAACCAAGAACAAAGCTCAGACAATGCCTTACAAAACATGCAAATGCATAAGCAGCCTGCTGAAAATTGTTTTAACAAAAACAATAATGTGAAATTGTCACTAAACAGAATTCACAGTTTCAATTAAGTAAAAGCAGATATTAACAGCATTTTCATGCTTTCTTATTTAAAGCATCCTGTAAGCGTACATTAATCTATTTTATTTTATTTTTTTGTTGTTAATCTATTTTAGATTGGAATTTATGGTCTTCTGCACATCAGCAACTCCCTTCTTTTTTCATTTTCACCAACATATATCAAGCAGGAACTATCTAGCTTTTTCTGACACTGTTCAGCTCACATATAACCCTCCATGATTTGTTTCCTTTCTTGTACAGAAAACGTTTTAGCACTAGTACTCAGAACAAATAGATGCTGTAAAACCACAATGCTACTCGCTAACCAGGAAATGAAAATAAGTATTTCTATTCAATAAAATATAATATGCAGGGAATCTTGATGATATAATACTAATGTATAAAGAGTCCATGATAACTATATAATTTTTTTACAAAACTGTGAATTCAATACTATTTATGGAAATAAACTAAATTTGGTTAGTGGGAAGATAAGTATGCCTGTTAATCAAATTTGTCGCTATAGTCCTTAATCCAGAGTAATGTTTAAAAAGAGTATACCTCAATCATAATTTCACAGTATTTCCTTTCTATCCTTTCACATCTGTAGACTCTGTAGTGATGTCACTTCTTTCACTCCCAATATTAGTAATTTACGTCTGTTCTCTTCCCCCATTGCTACCTATTTCTTTTTGCCTTAAGGGACTTCAATTACACACCCTCAGTAGAAATTTCTCAGTTAACTGATGCTTTGTATTGTTTGCAGGTTCATTGGCTGACTTTGTTTTGTTTTGTCTTAGTGTTTTACTTTGGATAATTTCTAATACCTTGTTGTCAATTTTACTAGTTTCTTATTTTCTGTATAAAACTCTTCATTTCATTCAATGACTTCAAATCAGACATTTTAGATTGGATTTACAGAAGTTTGATATGAGTTTTTAAAAATATCATCTATGTTTTTACTTTATGTGCTTAACATTTCCTTTACCTACTTAATCATATAAAATGTAGACAAGAAAAAACAATTATATAATTTATGTCATGTTAAGTTAGTTTTTATAGATTAACTATCTCATCATTAAAGGTTATATTTTCCTTAACTCCATAACTCCAGACATTGTAAATTTTACCTTAATAATTACTGGATATTGTAGTCTCATAAAGGCAGTTGACCCATTTTTATGTGAAATAATGTACTTGAAATGGTTTGATCCTTCCTGTTTCCCTGTTAGGAGCAGAGTGGGTACTGTTTCAGGTTAATTTTGTCCCATTGTTAATGTAATCACTTTCTCATTATTTTATCAAATACTTTGTGGATTATAAGAATTTCTGTATTAGGTACAAACACTATTCCTGTCCCGAGCTGACCCTTAAGGGTAAATGCCTTTTGCTCTTTTCAGGTAGTACTTTCTTAGGTCTCTAGTTATGTCATAAGCATGTGCTAATCAGTAATCAACAGGAGACACAACACGAAGCTCTGCAAATACCAATACGCTTCTATCTTTGCAGCTCTGTAGTAATCTATGCAAACTCTTTCCACCTTTGCCTCCTCAGGCTCCCACCTCTAGCTTACTGTGTTCAATCAGGGTGATCCACTATTCAACCAAGCCTGGAAGTTCCCTACAGCTCTATGCATTATAGACTTATCCCACATGGTTCCTCTCCCTCTGGCCCTAAATTAGGTAAAGGCCAATGTCTCAAAAGTATTACTTTTTTCTGTTTTTAATTGTTTCAGTGGCACAATAAATTCAGCTTATCTTGTTCCATTTTGCCTGGTACTGTATACCCCACTCACCACTTACAACCATGATTTGAAGAAACATTTCTCTAGGAAATTAGTTTTATGGACTCCATTTTGATGGCACCTCACAAAATATGCATTAGTGTTTCTGTGTCTCATCTTCATCACTTAAAAGTCATTCAGGATAAGTAGAAAAGAAGATACATTTTATTTGACCAATGTTATAGTGAATTTTATAGAGGAATGTTCTGTGTGTGTGTGTGTGTGTGTATGTGTGTGTGTGGTGTGTTGGTGAGTGAGCAAAAACCACATATAGTAAGTCCCCAACTTACAAATGGGTTCCATTCTGGAAGAACATTTGTAAGTTGGATTCATTCATAAGTCCGAAAAAATGAGTCTTATATTCCGCACAATATACAATATAAAACATGAAAAGTCCAAACATACATACACACAAATACAGTAAGCGCCTGTCTGTGCTGGGCTACTGTGCACTATCACACTTTACAGTAAGCACACAGCAGCACAAATGTGACAGTGTCTGGCAGTCACATGAGCTACTTCTGCTATTTGTTCACATCTACAAATGTTCATAATGTGAGATCCGTTCTTATCTGTGAAAGTTCACAACTCAAATGTTCATAAGTCAGGAACTTACTGTCCTCTTTTAATACAAATTTGAACAGTATTAAATCCTTTTTTCATTGGCAGAGTAATAACATAACAATTTTTATACATAATTTATAGATAAAATCTAAGAATTCCTGAATATTCTCAAACTTGAAGTATCTATTCTGCATAAGATATATCATTAGATTATTGGTCAATACAAAAACAAAGTAACAAACTAAGGTATTCTATACTCCCATCAGTTTAAGCTGTTAGTAGTGCAAAGAGTTAAAGAACAACACAGCATTTGTTATTGTCTTTTTAACATCTGTCTGTAGAACTTTCACAATTTCTTTTCTATGATTTTTTAGTGTTGGTAATTTGTACTTCTCTCTTTTTGATGATCAGACCAGACAGTATTATGTCAATTTTGTTCATCTTGGTGAATGTTCTGTCCATAACTGAAAAGAATATGTGTTATATTTTTGTTGGGTCAAGGATTCTACAGATGTTAAGCTCTTCAAGTTAGTTGATAATGTTTATACTTTTTATATCCTTACTGATATTTAGACAATTACTGGGAGAAGAACATTAGAGTCACCAATTTTAATTCTGGATTTTTGGATTCTCCCTTTAAATCTGTTGATTTTGTTTTATGGATTTGAAGTAGTTTCTAGATGCATAAACATTAAATATACATCTTCTTGAAAGTTTGGTCATATTGTTGCTCATGCCTTATTATTATGATAAAGGTAGTGCTTTATATCTGATAATATCCCTTCTTCTGACTTCTATTTCTCTGATATTAATGTAACACATTCACCTTTCTTTTGGTTAGTATACCATAATATACCTTTTTGATAATTTTTTGACCTATTCATGTCTTAAATTTTAAGATGAATTTCTTGTAGAAAGAATGTAATTGTACTGTTTCTTTATCCATTTGAAAACTTCTTCCTTTCCATCAGACTATTTAGACATTTACATTTCCTGTAATTATTTATATGATTAGCCTAATTAAATGTATCATTGAAGTTTTTTCTATTTATTTTCATCTGTCCATTTTTATGAAATAGCTTTATTAAGATATAACTCATATAAGATACAATTCATCCATTTAAATGGCATAATTCAATGACTGGCTTTTAGTGTATTCACAGAGTTGTACATCCATTACCATAATTAATTTCAGAATATTCCATGACTCCTCCAAAAACCTTGTTTCCTTTTGCATCCCACATTGCTTCCACAATAGCCATAGGCAAACACTAGTCTACTGTCTGTCTCCATAAATTTGGTTATTCTGAACATCTTACATAAATGAAATCATAAATTATGTAGTTCTTTTGTGACTGGTTTCCTTCACTTGGCATAACATTTTCAAGTTCACTCACATTGGAGGATATTTGAGAACTCAATTCTATTTATTGATAGATAAAATTCCATTATCTAGCCATTTTATTTATTCATTCTTTAGTAGGCAGACATTTGTGTTGTTACTTTTTATCTATTATGAATATTGCTGCAATGAAGATTTATCTACTTGTTTTTGTGAGCACATATGTTTTCATTTCTCCTGGGTATCTACGTAGGAGCAGAAGTGTTGGATTATGTGGTATCTCCACAATTAGCCATTTGAGAAACTGCCACACTATTTTACAAAGCAGCACAACCACATCCAGTTTCCGCTAGCATCAGAGAAGGGCTCCAAATTCTCTACATTGTTGGCAATAGTTGTTTTTATCCCTTCTTTTTTTAAATAGCCATTTTAGTGTATGAATTGTTATCTCATTTTGATTTACATTTATCTTATGGATGATGATGTTGAACAACTTTTAATGTGATGGTTTAGTCATTTGCATATCTCCTTTGCTAAAATGTCTCTTTAGATTTTTGTTCAGTTTTAATTGACTATTTCCCTTCTTATATTGAATCATCCATTATTTATTCCTTTTTCTGGCTACTCTAGTTGTCTTCTTAATGAATTGAGTATAATTTATTGAATCAATTTATCCCCACTATTGGATGATTAGCCATATATTGTACAAATTTAACTTACCGAAGTCTACCTCCAAATATTACACCAGCCATATATTATATAAGAGCATGTAAACAGTACATTTTTCATTTTTTCCCTTATCATGTTTGTTATTTTGTCATATATTTTAATCTACACATATTATAATTCTTTTATTGCCTTTGAACAACTGCCTTTATATTTTATTATTATTATTTTTTGCAATGCTAGAGATCAAACTTAGGGTCTTATGAGTGACAGGCAATTGCACTTCCACTGAGATACCTCTCCAGGCTTCTACAATTATCTATTAAAGGTAACAAATTTTTAAAAAAAATTATTTTGTGTGCTCATATATTTATCATATCTTGCAGTTTTTAATCATTCAAGTTTTAATCTGGTATCCTTTTCAGTCTTCCTGAAGGCCTCCTTTATAGTTCTCCAGTTCTGAATTCTCTCAGATTTTTCCATCTGAAAAAATATTTCAATAACTTTTACTATCACTGGATATATTAATCTATGTTTTCCAGAAATATGAAGACATAATTCAGTGCCTTCTGGCCTAACAAAAGAGTGTCTCATTCTTATCTTTGTCCTATATATTGGCTGTTTCGAATATTTCCATCCAAGATCTGGCTTAGGTTGATTTTTCTTTGTTTTTGTTGTGGTAGTTTGTTTGTTTGATTTTTTTTGTTGCTGTTGTTGTTGGGTTTCATTGGTTTTTTTTCTCCTGAAGTATATGATGGTTTTGTTTCCATGAAATGATAGGTTTCATCAAATCTGAAAAAATAATACATTCTACTTTCAAAACTGATATTATAAAGGAAATATTTTCTCTCTTTCTATCTCTCTCACTCATTCTGTCTCTCTCTCTGTCTCTCCCCACCTCCCTCTCTTCCTTTCTCCCTCCCTCTCCATTTTTTCAGTCTCCGAGCTATAGCCTAGACCTATAGCTGCCTCAGCCTCACCAGTCTCCAATCTTTTCTCTTAGCTCAGCAAGAAATTCAGGCACCCCCTGAGATCTCTCTCCTTGCTTTGCAACATACAAGCTGCCTACCTTTTTTTCTTCTTTTTTTTTTTAGTTTCTTTTAGAGATTAGTGTCCTGTGTACCTGTTGTAAAATGTCTAAAAACAATTATTTCACATAGTTTTTTCTAGTCAATTAGTTTAACAAAGGAATTTCTGTTGCCATTCAACTTTCGTGGTCATAATGGAAGACCAATACATTAGTTTCAAGTTAACGTCCTCCAAAAGCCTATGACCATTTCTATTTCTCCACTATCATTTTCCTAATTTAGGTCTCCATCACTATTCACTTATATTCTAGGATATCATTTTAATGATATTTCCAGTAGATACTTGATAAATGTTTCTAGAATGAAAGAGTTTATTACTATTAAAGTTAAGAATGTTAGGGGAACTAGGGACAACTAACAACATAGTTAATGTAGGATCCAAACATATCAAGAAAATCTACACATGTAGTTCATTACAAAAAGAAGCGACTTGAGAAAAGAACACACATGTATTATCTCTGATGTTTTTAATGCTGCCATTTGATGTGGGAAAAATTAAGCTGAACTTTTCAAAAAAAATACTCAAAAAGTTAAATGAACTACTTTCTGATAGTTCTTTAACATTGTCAGTGTGAATTGTGGAACAGTAGTAGATTGTTAAAAATAAATTGAATGATATAGACTGAGCCTGTTTAAAACTGTACTTTCCTGCATATAGCACTTTTAATACCCAAAAAGTATTCAAAGTACACAGTATTAGGTCAGAAAATGATAATCACTTACCTGTAAACACATCATGCAAAACATCATAAAGAAAAAAAGTTGGGATATAGTCTACATCAAGAAATTAAGCAAGGCTAAAAAGTTATGTTGCAAGGTGATGAAGATTCAGAAACACATTATCACCACCTGCAAATCCTTGTAATTTTGATTCTCCACCTATATGATTCCACCTCACTTGACTCACTCAATGTCAAAATGTACTAATGAGAAGTATCTATCTATTTAGGTACGTTAGGACAGTCACTGAGAAATACATACTGTACCATGTTCGTATCTCCTGCTTTGAGATATGCAAAAATTCTCCAAGTGGGCCTCTTGACCCTATTCAAACTTTCAACAAAGTGGAGACAGCAAATAGTTGTGACAGGTGGATGGAGGAGGATGCTGTGTGCAAGTGGGAGAGACTGTAGTGAGGGACCTAATCTAGTATCCAATTAGGCTGACTTTGCCCACATGATCTAAAAAAGAGAATAAAGCCAATAAATTTTAGCTGAACTCCTAAAAGCATAATTTGTCTTCTGTGTTTTTCCTTTTAGATTGCTTTTGGTGGAAACCATCTATGAATGTAGGTATATACTTGTGTTTACTTTGTATAATGGTACAGAGATGAGGAAAAGAGAAAACAAACAATATGTGATATGTACTATAAATTACTATTAATAATACTTTAAAATAAGAGTGTCTCATCTTCTAAGCAATCCCTAGAAGGCAGCCATCCATTAAGAGCTATATTGGGTATGAGAGCAATACCAGTTACAGAGACAAGCCCACTATGCAACTCACAATTGCTGAAGATCAGGTGGTAACCTCCTCCAAATATTTATATAAGATTTAAGGTTAAGCATATTGTCACACAATTGTTTCCAAAAAATGAATTTTATGGCTGTCTTTTGGAGAATTCTATTTCCAATACTATTTCAGCCTAGATCTGGTTGTTGACTTCAAGTAGAGGGCATGGACAATCTTCATGGAGATGTTAGACTAGCAATTGCACTGCTATGAAAAATTGTTTTATAAACTTTCCTGTTTCTATTTTCTTTCCTTTTTTTCTATCAAAAACTGACTGGTAGGTCAACAACATATATTTCCTGATCCTACATTATCAGTCAATTTGTCAGTAAGTTCTCCTACAAATTTTGACTCTGTCAAGAGACATTTCTTAAAAGGGCATTGAATGTATTACTTTGTTTAAATTAGAAAGTCTACTCATATTCTAGAAAGTGGGATGAGGAAGAATGTGGTAAAACAATGTGTTTAACATTTTTCTAATTTTAATACAATGAAAATTCTGCAATGTCAGCAACATACGATCAAGTATGTATGTAAATGCAAGCCTGGCAAAGAAGGGTGGGGGATAATTTCACTTATAGTTAATTAACTTACTAATTATTCCAATTTTAACAGATTTTCACAAAATATTGATTGTTTGAAGAACAGCTTTTTTCTTATGCAAGGCAGGAAGACACAATTGGCAGGATTTGAAAATGCAGTTGTACAGGAGTCAGTATTTGTGTGACTTTTTCATTTATTCTCTTATTTAATGACAGACAAACATTTTCTCTCTCAAATCTCCACAGAGTTTCAAGCAGTTAACATTTTTAACTTTTCTGTCAGACAAATATTTTACTCAACCTTGCTGTTTCTCCAACTTTGATCCTCCTACCTAAATCACATGATTTAAGGTGCCTATTCAGAATGTAAATTCTGATAACCCTTGAATCAGAAGTGCTGAAACTGGGTACAGATATTTGTACTTCTAAAAAGTACCTTTTTTGATTCTTATAAACTTTTGAGTTCTAAAATTCCTAATGCTGGTCTTTGGACAAATCATGAGGGCCAATAGCAATGACAGCAACTTCCTCCATATTTGAGTTAGCTTTGATCTGGAAGAAAAACAAGACAGGAGGCAAAAAGAATGAATTGGAATACTGACATACACTCCAAATAAATTACCATATAGTCTGGCAAGATCATTACAGCCTGGGAGACTCCTTGGTTCCTAAATGTTAAAGATTATCTCCTTAACTCTGAATATGGCATGAAATTAAAAAATCTGCTGAAGGTATTCTTTTTCTCAAACATGAAGACATTTTATAAATTTAACAGAAACTGTGCTTATAAATTCTGTGCATCATGTAAAATTTCTCAAAATTCACCCAATTTTTATACATTTATAAATTATAATGAAAATATATTGGAAAGTAGATATGTCCATTAGTAAAGTATTATATCCATTAAGTGATAATGACTACTGGAGAAAAGAAACCTATTAAAAAAACAAAGAAGGAAAGAATAAAATAAGAAATATAGAAGAAAGGAGAGATGAAAATAGAAAATGGGAAACCCATATTTACCAAATTAGTTGTTTTCCTTTTAAATATTTTTCCAGTAGATATTTTCTCCTTGTATTACATGAACTTCCTGTTCACAAAATTTTATTCTTTGATCTTTAAAGAAGAGCTTCTTAAACTGCACAACATTTTGGAGCATCAATTGAAATGATCAGTTCATAGCCAAAAACTAAAATTGAGCCCACAGTTATGTAAAAGCATACTCTCCATAATTTCTATGAAAAGGCAAATGTAAAGACAACATTCCTGTCAAAGAACAATTGCATCTAGGTTAAACAGGCAGGGAAGACTTTACTCAGAACTACTATAATAGAGGTCAAAACTACTACAATAGAGAAATGAGTTACAGTAGAGAAATGAGTTGAACTCAACTTTGTTGAAATAAAAGAATGGAATCTTTTAAGCACTGAAGTGAATTGGTATAAAATCAGGGAAGAACTTAAGGAGAGATTGTTAGTGTGATCAGGCCATCTGTGTTTGCTAGTTTACACTAGAAAGTGGACTCCCAACTTCCTACAGACACTGGAAGGTAGGGAAGATCTGTTTCTTGATGATTATATTTATAAGAGATATTTCCTAGTTCCCTCAAAACACATTCTTGAGGTTTAGCATTGGCTAAAGTTTGGAAGGAGATTTATCTCTTAAAGGAGCAGAGAACAAAAATAATAATTTCAATTGATCTAAACTAAATGGTCTAAGAAAAGGAGGCCAGAGCCCTATTATCAGGAAGGAATTTTCTACAGTTTAGCCAAACTGACAAAATCCATAGTATTCAGTTTTTTTAATTCAATCCCTTCAAATGATGAAGCAATTTCATACATATTAATTGTATTATAATATTTTTTGAACATTGATAACCTATTGAAGATTTTAACTAAATATAATGAACATAGGCTAATTGTTTAATTCTAAGGCTGATTTAACTTTCAATTTACTTTTAAATTGTTTTGAGCTATAATGAAATTCTGTTGGGTGCATAAATTAGCCCTTGTTTTTTTTATTTAAGCAAAATTACCACAATAAAAATGATTTCAATTACAATTTTGGCTAAGCATAGAATTTGGCAAACATTCCTTCTTTTACTTTCTCAACCTTTCAGCTGAAAACTTTCTGTAATTCCAGCTAAAGAGAGAGAAAAATAATCAACTCATTGACAGAATCTGGCAGAAATTGATGAAAACAAATATTGTCCTCACCTTATATATCCTCATTGAATCACAGCATTACATGTCTGATGTCCTTGCCTTATTAGTTACCACAAATCACAAAACCTACATTGTGAAAAAAGTTCAATAGCCTTTTGTCTTGGAGAATTATTGCTTTTTGAGAGAACTAGAACACGGTTTCTCCATCTTATTCTATTATGTCACATAGAGCCATTTGTTTCTTCCCAAGTTCAAAAGGTCACCATAAGGGTAATTGCTCATAGAACTTTACACCTTTGTGGGTGTGACTTCCTAGAGAACATATTGTCAGAAGGCAGTCAGAGGAAAGGTAATTTGGTAAGGGTGCATCAGCAACTAATCTAATCTAAGTGAGATCATCTAGCACTTGTCTTTCTGTGCCTGGCTTATTTTCCTTAGCATAATGTTCTTCACATTCATCCACATTGTCACAAAAGACAGAATTTCTTTCTTCAAAGGCTACATAGAATTCTATTGTGCATGTAAACCATGTTTTCCTTATCTGGTCATCCACTGATGGACATTTAGGTATGTTACATACCTTGGCTATTGTGAATAATGCTGAAATGAAAGTGGGAGTAAAATATCTCTTTAATCTACAGATTTCAAAGCATAGGTGGGATAGCTGAAGTGGGAGAGCTGAATCATTTGATAGTTCTACTTTTAAGTTTTGTAAGAGCCTCTATACTGTTTTTCATAATGGTTTCACCAATTTACATTCCCACCAAAAGTCTACCACTATTCCTTTTTCTCCACATCTTCATCTGTCACTTGTTATCCTTTGTCATCTTAATAATGGCCCTTCATTATAATAAGTATAATGTGATATCTCATTTGATTTGCATTTCCTGAAGATTTTTCATATATATGCTGATCATTTCTTCTATGACAGTATCTATTTATGTTGTTTCCCCACTTTTAAGTCAGATTGTTTTATTTCAAGTTGTTTGAGTTCCTTATATACTCTGCACATTAATGGTTTATGAGATGAAAAATTTACAAATATTTTATTCTATGACATAGGTTTTCTATTCATTTTATTTTAGGCAGCTATGTTAGATAAAACTAATATACAGTAGGAGAGGGACTGGGCTCTCAAGGAAGTCAGTGAAAGGTGGAGACATTAGAATTGTGCCTGGAGGTACATCATCTGAAGAAGGCAAGGCCTCAAGATAAAGTCATTTGCACCCTCCCTGAAGAGATAAGCAGAACAGTATTTAATATCACTGTTGCGGCTGAAGGGCTGAAAGGAGGCCCAGTCAGGTGAGGTACCCAAAGAAAAGAACACCATGGAGCAGATATCACCAGAAAGCAGGAACCCAAGTTTTTCCAGCATTAGGGCAGCATTAGAGCATGAGAGTTGGAGCTGCAGCTCTAGAGCTCAAGAGCTGCATGACTTTATCAGCTTTTCTGAGACACAGTAAGACAAAACAACTGTGCAACCTTGTATAGCTATGTGGTACGTTATCGTTGTCCATGTTGCTTCATTATTATAATAAAGTCCATTGTGTGCCTGCTCTAAATGACAGAGTTGCATCCTCAGGTGTCCTCAAGTACCCTCAGATGCCAGAGCATTCACACATCTTCCAGTGGGACTCCCTAAAATCATCCAGTCCATTAAGTCCAGATACACATCAGACAGCAGGGTGGGTGACCAGAACATCTGGAACCATTCCTTCCTTCAAATGTTTCTGTTTTATAAGCCGTAGATACTCTGAGGTTAATAATTCTAGCCATGTAGCTTTGATATCTGCCCCACTTCCTTATTGGATCAATATTAACTAAAGGGCTATACTTGTAATCCTATAAACTGGCTATAGTTTGACCCACATTGTATCCACATTGTGAATTTGGGTATAAATTACCTTGACAACAGGCTTCAGTGGCAACCCTTTCAGGACCCCACCTGTTCCTCAGGAGCTATTCCTATTCTCCAATAACATTTCCTACTCTTAACCTCCTTTGTCCTTTGGAATTTATTCTTTGATTTCAGGGGACATGAACTTGACATATCTGACATCTAGCAGGTTGGGAGTTATATTTTTGCTATACTATTTTGGAGGTTCCACCAAGATCTTTGGAAGGAGGGTGAGAGTTTGCTTTTGTTGCATGGTATCTCTAAATATTTTGACTGGAAAGCCAAGATGGCCTGTTGTTTTATTTTAGACAGCTGTTTGGAATGGCTTTTTGAATATGTAATTTCTTTGCAGCTTACTCTTTTGGATATGTGTGAGGCTAGGGAACATGTTTTGGCAGTTCACCTCTGCTCTGGATGGTTGTTATCAATGTCAATAAATGGTAATATACTTCTCTTTAAATTCTGGGAAATGTTTTTTCCTTGTCATTTGGAAGCACTTGAACCCCTAGAAAATGTGTGCTCATATTTGGGCATTCCTTTATAGACCACATAACCCCCATCCCTGTGTTAGAAGGGAATTAGAAAGGCACACATGAGGGATTTGGCTGATCCAGTCCCTGGACAGGGGTTTTCTCCTGTGACCAACAGGACTGGCAGGAGAAAATCTGCAATTATTCATGTCTCTTGATTACTGGTTTAACTTTTCGCTGACTGTGCTTCCCTTCTTAAACATGGCTATTATAGTGGTATTGAGTTATAGTTTGTGCTTTTGGAAACACACTTTGAGGTTGAAATTTTGAGTTTTCAGAGGAAGTAAGTGGTGCATAGGTAAGGATGGCCAGTCCAGCTCAATATATCTTCTGGTCACTCTCCAGATAACAGCCACTTGCTCTGGAGCAGGTAAACCCAGGGGACACCCTGAGGCATATAAAAACCAAAGGGATTAAAAGGAATGGCTTCTTCTCCCCTTGTTGTTTTGCAGATGGGAAACTCAATGTTGAATTTTCTTACTCCTTTGGAGTATATTCTTAAGAATTGGAAATTGTTCAAACCTCACATTTTGAGGAAGAGCTGTTTAATATTTTTCTCCACCTGAACATGATCTTCCTATCCCATAGAGGCATAGTGGAATACAGAAGGAAGTATTGACTATAATATGGTTTTATAATTGTAGTTTTACTGTAAAAGAGAGGAAAAATGGTCAGAGGTACCTTATATTCAGACTTTCTTTGCATTGACAGACAGTCCTGATTTGTGCTCAAAGTGTAGATAAAAGTCAGTGGAAAACCAGATGCCCCTGGTCCTTAAGGCACTATCTGCTGCAGCTACCATTTCTGAACCTGAGGTTATTCTCCCTTGTCCTCTGTACTCTAATGATGAGAACTAAGCCCTTCAATCACTTTAAGTTGTCAGCTACTAATCAGGAAATTATAAACACCCCCTGAAAATAAAAACAGTTAAAATTACCTTTAATGGCTTGTCCCTTTAGAGAGAACACTTACACTTGGCTATCAAACAGCAGCTTTGGCCATCAGATGTGTATCAAAACAACAAGAAGCTTGTATAGCTGGCTATTCCAAGCAGATAAACCATTAGCCCAGAGCCCATCTTAAAAAGAGTCTTTTGCTTTCACAGGTGTAAAAGGGTTTTTTTCCTTATTGTTATCACCAGAGATCTCTGTTGATAACCTTAAGAAAAATTATGACAAGCCTATTTCTAGTTACAAACCCAGAAATTGTGAAAGAGTTATTATAGCTCAACTTGGCCAAATATATGAGGACACTCTGATTTAAATGTAATCCTCTTGTGTATGTTTGTCTATCATATGCTAACTAGTTAAAGCATTTGCAGCTTCTTCATTTAAGAAAAAAAATTTGTGAGCTCAAAAATTTTTTTCTTTTTTTGGTTCCTTTTGAGATTTCCATGGAAAACCATTTGTATAGATTTTCAGGGTAGTCAAACTCATTTAAAACCTTACCAGAGAAAAACAGACAAGTTCAATTCTTACATAGGAATAAAAGCCTTAAATTGGATAACATGAATGCTATGTGTGATTAATATGTTAATGTGTGTATGTTTCTGTGTGTTAAATTTAAGCTATGTATTATTCTCCAAAAGTTTTACTTAAGTTGGCTATAGATAAATAAACACTCAAGAAATTATCTCAAATGTTTGTGGTTCAGATAGTTAACAGTAGGCTAATTTGTCTTTAAAGTTTATAACATATTTTCATCCATGTTCTTAGTTAACCAATATAATACCAAGATCAGTCTTATAAATACAATGTCTATCATTGTCTGTGTACCATAATTTAAGAGTTTTTCTTAGTGAGAGATAATATATATAGCTAAAAATAAGTAGTAACAGTTATGATAAGTCATCTAGAGTAAATGTTTTTGGCTATAATTAAAAGGTTAAATTTTCTATGTCTAAAACAATATGGTCTTCTTAAATATTGAGATGTTCTTGGTTAAACTTACAAAACTTGTTTTAAAAGCAAAGGTTCTATATTTTACTAAAATAAGTTTCTTGTGTTCTCATCATTTGGCTTTTGGTTACTAAAAAGTGAGCATTAAGAGTTAAAGAGTATTTGAATATTAATCTATGAAATGTTTTCATTAATCAGTTCATAAATGGTTAAATTAACAGCTATTATCTTACTTTGTGACATAATTGATATATTTGGGCATATATATGTATACATATAAAAACAAGCTATGTTGTGAGTCTAAGATTTGAAGTTAAGTTTATAGAGTTAAGACTACATGAGTTTAATAAATACAAAATAAC